CTGCAACAGTATTTCATGTATTCCATCATATATGAGAAGAAATCAACTAGTTTAGATTAGTGCTTCTCAAATTTTGTATTCACACTGAGTAGTTTTTTCATTTAATTTTTGTATTTTTGTGAAATTATCAATAAATAAAAGTAATTATAAAATGGAAAGAATAGAGTTCAAATGCATTTTTTTTAATTTTAATTTTTAGACTGAATTAACAAGAAAAAAATACATAAAATTTGGTTCTAATCTTCTGAAAAAAATTTGTTCATGGGCAGTTTTCAATGATTTCCTGGGCTGATTTTCATCATCAGTCACCTTTAGCATTAAGTATTTAAATAACAAAAGAAAAGTAATAAAACAATGTGTTTTTAAATAGTTTTATTAATGTAATAAATAAAATTGTGCAATTTTAGGTGAAATCTCAGCAGAGTCCAGTAATAAACTGTTCATGAATCAGTGCTGGTTCACAGATCACAGTTTGAGATTAAAATTCTTATTATAAATTGATAGATTAATAATAATATTAGTATGTGTTCATTACTTAATATTGCTTATCTGTAGTATAATTACTATTTACTTCATCATATCTAAGTAATCTGTTTTTGTCATTTTATTTGAATGTTTCTAAATAACATAGTACTATTCTATTACAAATAATAGTAAACTGGTTTTTTTGCCAAAGAACTACATATTTTCATATGATTACAAATTTACATAATAAAAAAAATTTCAAGAAATTTAATCTTTGATGTATCATAGATTCAACAAAGATTAAATTAATAACAAATAATATTTTCTTATTTTTACATTTGTTAATTTATCATTTGGTTGCAGCACATATTAACAGACTATAATGAAACTATTGAACTACATAAACTGGTATAGGAAAGAAATATTCATATTAATTATTTTAATAGTAAAATAATGGCATAAAAGTATTAAAACATATAGTATAAAAGATGAGAAGAGAGAAATTTTAAAAGAAGTTTGTAATAACTATAAAAATTCAGTTATTTAAAAATTAATTTCATACTCCATAAAATAATAAGTTATATACATAGATGTGTTTCTTTCAAAGCCCTCTTTGTTAACTCAATTTTAAAAATGCTATTGATATCAAAGCTAGCCAAGTCATTGTATTACAATATTTACAGCATAATGTTACTGAAAATCACTAATGTAAAATTCAATCTGGGACCATCTAAATGTGGAAGACCTCCATCAATTTATCATAGAACAATTTTGGGGGAATTTTCTGGTTCACTGCAGAGATAGACTGTTATAGTTATATACTATAACAGCCTACCTCTGAAAATCTTTTGTTGAATCTGAGTAAATCTTCAAATGAGTTCAAAGAATCCAAATGTTTCAATGATTTTCAGGGAATACTATAACAAACATTTCTATGGAAGATGTATTAAATAGACTTTCAGACTTACCATATTTCTTGAATGACAGAGACTCCCTGAAACTGTGCCCTGATTCAGAAGTGCACCTAATTACAGTTGAAAAAATAGATACACAAGTAACAAAGTACAAACAGTGTGACCCAATTTATGAGTACTCAATATATAAAGTTTTGATACAGTAAGTTGTTTTTTAGTCTTTTTCCTGATCTATGATAACAAAATATTCTAATCTTAGGTGTGACAAGATTGAAGCTCTATGATTATATATAAATTTATAAGCTCCACTCTCTCATTTTATTTCTTTCATTCATATTGTGTATTCATTCATTACAGTAATGCAGTTTAATGAACATTCTCCCTACATAAATCCTTTCTGTCAGCAATTACAATTTCATTAATTAAAATTAATTTTATTTTATTCTATCTTGTTTGTTCTTAATTATAGTCTTAGCTAAATTTTGTTTTCTTACCATTAAATAAAATGATGTCTTATAATATGTATCTCATTATAATATGTTCTCTCATTTCATATTAATTTCCTTTATATCCATGAATAGCCTAAACAACATCTTATTTTATTATATTTCATTTAGAATTATTAATTGATAGGTAAAATAAAGTTTTGTAGCATTTTAATATTTGGGGAATGTGCAGAATAACTGAGTTGTGCTGGAACAAATTTCAACTGTAAGAAATAATGAAAAATCTCATCCCAATTTATTATATTTGACTTTACAAGAACTTTTCAGAAACAAGATATACCCATAAATTGGGGTTGCACTATACTGCTGGTTATACATGACAAAATGTGTGCTCTCAAAAAGTAAGAAAGAGATATACAATTTTTGAGAAATGAAAAATTGTAAATTATGCTAAAGTGAATAAGATTGCTTACTTTAACAAACTATTATAAAGTGGACTAAAACAAGTATAAAAATGTAAATAAATAAATAAATGGTAAGTGGATTTCAGAAGCTACAAGAAAGTATTCATGCTACCATATCAGCAAAAAACAAAAAAACATTGTGAACTTTTGTAATTTGCCTTACAGCATTCCCAAATATATATATTTGCGATAAAGAATGCAGAATTTGAAATTTTGTAATTAAAGAGTTAAAATTATATATGACATTAAAAAACTTTTCAAAAATTTATAATATTTTTACACCCTGAATAACTGTGAAAGGGCACACCCTGAAATATTGTGAAAAACATTAATAAAAGTATATACAGTAATACCCCGAACTTACACGATAGGTGAGACCGAGTGATAACCGCGTAAGTCGGGGCATAATTTTGCAATTTGTGTAAAATCCAAGTCGGATGTATGTAAGTTAATAAATGTTCTCGTTAATCTTATCTTGTCTTTTGATTTGTTCACAGTTACAAGAAATCACCACATAGAGTCTCTCAAGTCTCCGTAGATATAACAAACACAGAAATAAATAACACAAAATAAATTGTAGCTATGTGTCGATTCCGCACTACACGTCCGAACATGTAAGCTGAACAATAGTGTGGGGGGAGTGAGTAATCAAAAGTTGCATGGCACTCGAACAAAAGATGAATCGACGAGATTTGAAAATCGCATAACTCCAGGTTCACGTAAGTTGGGGTATTACTGTACTTCTAATTCAAAATGGAAATTAATTAGTAATAATAAAATAGTGAATCAAAAACTTAATTGGGTCAGAGAAGAATTAGATTCAATTCATATGTATATTCAAGATTTTAAAATACAATTTCAATCAATTAATTGTAAAATAAATTATTATATATATAATATCTGGATATATATACACACTAGGAAGCAGAGCAGGACTTAATAAACTTCAAATACAAAAGAAAATAATGTACAATAAAACTTTTTATAAAATTCTTCTGCTATAACTGAAAACATAATCAAATTAATAATTGTTGACTTGGCTCAAAATAACTTGAGTTTAAAACACTTTAAGCAAGCTGATATAAAAGAGTTAATTGAATTACTGTAGTCAAAAATGAAAATTTGATATATAAAATTAGTCTAAATTCAAGCTAAAACCACAAAGAAGTTTATTCAATATTTATTAAAGCTGAACAATTAAATAAATTACATATATTGAACAATATGCAAATGTCTAGTGACTTAAGAAATGTCAAATGAACAGAAAGGAAAAAGTTAAACTTTGTGATGATTACATAATTACAGATGAAAACAGAATAACTTAATATTAAAAAGAACGATTTAGTTAATTTAGATAACTTTTTATTGAACCATATATTTCAAAATTCTCCTAAGTAATTAATTAACCTCACAAAAACATTTAAATTTAAAAATAAAGTTTATGGAAAATTATAAGATTATATAAGATAACTATAACTAACAAGGTCTTAAAAATGGAGATTTGGACATTGAAATATTTATTTCATTTGGAAAACTTACAGCTGAAATTCTTTTGTAATAATTCCATTTGGAAAGGAGTATTTTGAGCTGTGTTTTATGTCACGATAAAATACGTTTTACTTTTTCCTTTTTTATCCAAAAAGATTGATAAAATTATAATTCTACTTAAAATTTAAAGATGACAAGCAGAATTTAAACATATATCTAAACTAAGTAAGCTATAAATATAAGTTATATAACTTTTTAATCTTTTACATTTGATATTTCACATAAATTTTATTTATTGTATCTGATGATTCTGAGCAAGGTTGAAAACATGATTATAAATTATTAATGAGTACTGCTTTTTATTATCCATATTAAAAGATTAAATAACTTTGGTTAACTCTACTTTTCATTCCTGGTGTTAACAGATGTTAGAGATTCCTTCTATGGTATCCCACGAGGATGAATACAAAAATCTCTATAAAGAGATTTTAACTGTAATAGTATACTGTAATATTATTTTTATATTTATAAATAACATGTACTGTACATTAATTTCTTAAAAATTATTTTTGGTACTAGGATTCAAATTTTTATTTTTTATATTTTGAATAATTCAATGAACTACAAGTTGCCTGTGTACAAGTTGCACAGGTAAACAGATATTTCTTGAGTATTCTTGGATAATTATAGAAACTGGTTAAACATGACAAAAAGTCAATTGTTGAAATTATTTAACATTTTTTATTTGTAACTAAGTTGTCATAATGTATATTCATTGTTTTTGTAAGATTTTTTGAAAACCAAGTGCCTCCTATAACAAGTTAAAATACTCTATTTGTATCTTGATCAATAAATAATAATAATAATAATAATGAAAAGTCATAATCCTAAGTGCTGCCACTGCAAAAAGATTAAAGAAATACACTACTGCAAGAAAATTTTGCATTCCAAATGCACAAGCCAATTATCTTGAATACTTAATGATGCAGCAGAGAATATGGTACACAGTGTAACAAGACTTGATGTTGTAGAAAATAAAAACATTTTTGAAAATGAGAAGAGAAACAAATGCTAGGATTTTTGTAATATGCATGGATACCAACCAAAGCCTTTAGAAGAAACCTGATGTTAGAAGCCAAATCCAGCCATGGATTGTGTATGTACTAAATAAAAATAATTTGTATAAATGCTTATAACTACAAAAATTTATTAGATACACTTACCAGATGAACCACAAAATGGTGATTCTTGAGATCCATCTTCCAAACCACTCAATATTTCTTGTTTACCAACATCACTATCTCCCACAAGCAAGAATTTTAATAAATAGTCATATGACTTTTGTTGACTAGCTGATGGTCTACTTTGTGAAATAATCCTACTCATGAGTCTTTTGCAAGTTTACAAACACATCCCAAAAGTGGATCTGCAGTTCACAAATTTAGTTTTTTAAAATATCACAACAGTTTTGTTTAAATATATGTATTAAAAAGTAGACGAATCTAATATCCTGTAAAATAAATTATATACTTCAAATAAGAGAATAATCTAATTCAAATGATAAATGTAAAATTTTAAAATATTAATTTTAGATAGTAATAAAAAATAAATATTTCTACATTGCTTTATTATTTTAAATCAGTGTTTTCCAACCTTCAAGTCATCTAGAAGTATTGCCAACTGTCTTGCTATTGTAAGTTAAATTCCTAAATGATGTCACAGTCTTCTAGTATAGTAAATGAAATTGCTAAAGAAAAACAGTTTGGAAACCACTGCCTTAAATAATAAAACATATTTATTATGATGAAATAATAAATTCACACAGATTGGAAGTTAAAGCAACATGTAAAAATTTATTTTTAGTGAACTAAAGAATAAGTGATTATTACAATGTCAATGACCCTAATGTTTGCATAAAGCAATATGATTCAGCACTGAAAAAAAAATATATATATATATATATATATATTTTATATATATAAATTGACATTTTTCAAATGTTGTAAATATTGAAAGTTTTATATTATTATATAGAAAGTATACCAGAAAGAATAGGGTATAAAAAGAGAGTGAAAGTGTGTGCATTTGTGTATAAATTAATCTTCTCTACTTAAAAGTAAAAAAAAGATTAATAATAATTATTTTAAAACCTTGTCACGTTTCCAATGCCTGGCTCAATATTTCTTTAACTATAATCTGTCAAAAATAATGGTAAAAAAATAAAATCAATCAACTTTAAGATGCGTCATAGCATTGGAAGTAATTTATTTTCTTAAATGTAANACGCTCACATTACGCGCAGCCAAGCTTTCTTAAGGTAAGCGTAATACAGGCAAAACACACGTTAATTAACATACATCGCGCGCGTAACGCGTAATGGATACTACAACGTGGAAGTAACGCATAACTCGTAAATTATGCGTAACGACGAATAAATTCGGTAAGGATCCACGCGAAAATACAAAAACAAAATCATAATTAGGACACAAAAAAATGGAAGTTTCGAGCAAATGTTTTTTGAATTTACGTAAAGTTTTCGGAAAAAATTTATGTTTTAATTTAATTTTATAGTCACAACAGTTTGTAAATTATAATAATAATGACCTTACTCGATAAAGAAAATGAGTCAAGTTGTTGGAAAAATTAATTTATAAATTGCGGTAATGATATCACTTGATTAAAGATGGAATACGTTGATCTACTTCAAAAATTTTCTTTGTTCTTTATATTAAACACTCGATATTTTCTAAAAAAGCTCTAGATTTGATTCGTATACGATATATTTCGTGGACTCAAGTTCTTAATATTGATGAAAATTATATTTATTGGGTTTTATATTATAAATCCGAGTAAATTTCGACTAAAATGGTGTCTAAACGTATACGTTTCATGCAAAAAACACAGTCATACAGGCTACGGCGTGACGCACCTACACATGACACTCAACGTGATGTATTTAGAGCATTAGTAGAACGCGTGGCACATCCACACAGCCACAACACGCACGTAAACGTAACGCACGCGACATAAATGCAGCACGATACGTAACTTGGATCTATATAGCATAAGCAATATACTTCGATGCATAACAGCATTCATCTAGATTATGCAAATGGTAAATTGCGGCTTAAAGTATAGAAAAAAATGTGCAAAGTACTTGCCATTATTTATTTACGATCAGGCGAAGTGCAGACGTGCTCATTGTGTTTCACACCGAACCACCTAAATCTATTAAATGTCAGTAGATAGAAAGGACCACACCCGGTTGATAATTTGAATAAGTGACCAAGAATCACGCTTCTTACATTTCGTGAACGTCTTTTCTCCACTCGTCTCTCCTATACCTACGAGTACTTAACACAGGATACAATTAAATTCGTTTCTTTTATTGTTATATTATTTAGAAAATGATTTATAAATATTTTTAATGTTTATTAAGAGGCGTAAAACCTTTAAACTACTTAAGGCGAATCTGATAAAGACAAATTCATTACTTTAATTATTCTAGCATATCATGAACAGAACATTCTATTGAAAAGAAGAATCATCTTAAAAAGAAAATATAGACAATAACAATCAAAAGAGAGAAAAAAAAGATCAGATAAGCATCCAACCTTGAAGGACAATGTTCTTAATACTGTTTTGTATTTTATGTTCCATCTATCATGTTAATTTTTAAGTTTTTTATAGCACTGCATTAAAAGGAAATGTTAAAAACATAATTGTAAAACTTTTTCAGTATGAGACTATAAAAATTAGGATATGGGCAAATTTAAAAATTAATTGAAATCTATATAGGATTTTTTAATCTGAAACAAGTATTTTAAAACTATTGCAAGAAATAAAAAATACATTGTAGATTACTTCTAAAGCCTAAACAGTATGTATAAATAAGGAAAAAAATGCTAAAAATAACGTTCAGGATTCTAAAGTATATAGTTTTTATAATTTGAATTACTAAGCAACAATTTAAAGGAAGCTAAGTCTCTTGACCAATAGCTCTAGGCATGTTTATAAGCTATAAGTTACTGGAAATCTGGATAGCAATAAACTTGTTATTCTACTATTTAATGTTTATGCACTACATACAATTCAATTTGATTCCATTATTTGTTGTTATTTTTATGTAAAAATAATCTTGAATTTATAAAAATCAGACAATACATAAATAGCACTTTATGGACTTTTACATTATTTTATTGTCTTCTTTCAAAATCTAAATACAAACTGCATTAAATTCTATTTAATATATAGCATCTAACACATGTTAATTTTATAGATTTAAGTTTTCTAAACAGACACAACTTTAAAAAAACTTAATGATCATAAAAAATATTTTTTAAATATTAAACTTAAATTCAATTCAAAGATACTGTATATTTATTTTCAATTTTATTTCATTTCTCTCATTCTATAATTTCAAATGAATGTAATATATTTGAAATTATTTTGTCTATTATTAAATATACATTAATATATTTTTAATTATTACTGTTCTTGAATTATATACATAATTTTGCTTTATACTAATAGGATGAAATATTAACTAATCATCATACATGATATTTTCTTATTATAAATAGAATGCATTATTGCAAAATATAATTTTATTATAATAAATAAAATAATAAAACCTAAATAAAGATTTTATGAAAATAATAACTAACTCATTCTAAAGAAATGATATAATATATTTTATATAGTTTTATTGTATTATAAAAGTCGATCTATTATTCCATATAAATTATTTATAGTCAATAGATCAATTTATTTGGATGACAAATATGACCTACTTAAAGTGTAATTTGCAAGTTTTTACTCAACTTGAACTCTGACTTGATTTAGTCAAGTGTAACAATGATATTTAACTTATCAAAGGAGGCATAAAAAATTAAAATAGCAAATTGAATATATGCATTATAGTTTTTAACAATAATTTTATCGCTAAATGAGGATAAAACAATTAAAGAACTCTGGATTATATCTGTAACATTTATATATAAATATTTTTTTAAATTCTTGCTGAGAGTTGTTCTGTTTTAAATTTCTATTTTAGTACTAGAAAGAAAAACTTTTTTTTTTCAAAATAATTAAATTTCACTTCCTGTTAAGATGATAAAAGATTTATTTCATTTCATATTTCAAATTCAAATAGAATAAAAGACAAAGAAGAAAAAAATAAATAATAAAATCTGAATGTTAAAAAAAAAAAACTAATCCTTTCAAATAGGAAAAAAATAATTACAATAATTTTTATAAGAGAACAGTTTAATATAATTTATGAATAACTTTAATATTGAATCATTAATTAATAAATTCTATCCAAGTATATAGAACCAAGTCTATATTCTGTACTTATAATCAAATGATAAATCCAGATTAATGAAGTATAAAATATAAAAGAAATTTATTTTCCACATAGGATTCTCTATCATGGCATACAATAAAACTGTATAAATATATTACCTGTCATGTATAAGGAAAAGGCTATAGTAATATTACTATAGCCTTTTCCTTATACATGACAGGTAATATATTTATACAGTTTTATTGTATGCCATGATAGAGAATCCTATGTGGAAAATAAATTTCTTTTATATTTTATACTTCATTAATCTGGATTTATCATTTGATTATAAGTACAGAATATAGACTTGGTTCTATATACTTGGATAGAATTTATTAATTAATGATTCAATATTAAAGTTATTCATAAATTATATTAAACTGTTCTCTTATAAAAATTATTGTAATTATTTTTTTCCTATTTGAAAGGATTAGTTTTTTTTTTTTAACATTCAGATTTTATTATTTATTTTTTTCTTCTTTGTCTTTTATTCTATTTGAATTTGAAATATGAAATGAAATAAATCTTTTATCATCTTAACAGGAAGTGAAATTTAATTATTTTGAAAAAAAAAAGTTTTTCTTTCTAGTACTAAAATAGAAATTTAAAACAGAACAACTCTCAGCAAGAATTTAAAAAAATATTTATATATAAATGTTACAGATATAATCCAGAGTTCTTTAATTGTTTTATCCTCATTTAGCGATAAAATTATTGTTAAAAACTATAATGCATATATTCAATTTGCTATTTTAATTTTTTATGCCTCCTTTGATAAGTTAAATATCATTGTTACACTTGACTAAATCAAGTCAGAGTTCAAGTTGAGTAAAAACTTGCAAATTACACTTTAAGTAGGTCATATTTGTCATCCAAATAAATTGATCTATTGACTATAAATAATTTATATGGAATAATAGATCGACTTTTATAATACAATAAAACTATATAAAATATATTATATCATTTCTTTAGAATGAGTTAGTTATTATTTTCATAAAATCTTTATTTAGGTTTTATTATTTTATTTATTATAATAAAATTATATTTTGCAATAATGCATTCTATTTATAATAAGAAAATATCATGTATGATGATTAGTTAATATTTCATCCTATTAGTATAAAGCAAAATTATGTATATAATTCAAGAACAGTAATAATTAAAAATATATTAATGT